CCATAATAATAATCAACAGAGGGTCCTGTGGCACCTTTCAGACTAACGGAAGTATTGGAGCAAAAGCTTTCATGGGTGAATGCCCACTTCATCAGACGCATCTGATGAATTGGGCATTCACCCATGAAAGCTTATGCTCCAATACTTCTGTTAGTCTGAAAGGTGCCACAGGACCCTCTGTTGCTTTTTACAGATTCAGACTAACACAGCTACCCCTCTGATACATAATAATAATGTAATCATAAGAAGATGGAGGCCTAAATAGAGCCGGCTGGAATCAGCAGATGGGAGCCTTATGAAGTCTCATTCCTCCTTGCAAAACCATGCAAATTCCTAAGCAGTTCCCTCTAGAAGTGAATGCCATTCCTGTTTGCATAATTTCCACAATGAAGTTATGCCACAGAAGCAAGTTTGTACACTTCAGTGTCCCCTTACCACTATGTGGAGGTGCGAGGAGACTAGCCTGTGTCTTTTCACTTCTCACATTGGACTCACGACCCACAGGCTCGCCCCACAGCTACTCGAACATTCAAGGGGTTTGGAAAGACATTGCTCCTGATTGCTTCCTGCAGAGGCAAACTCCACTCCCCCTCTTCCACCACATGGCAGCTGAGAGCCTTAGAGGTATCTTTACCCTCCCCATGGTACTTCCACAGGATGGTATAATCTGACCCATAGAAATTAGAGATAGAAGTGATTTATTTGCTCATCTTCAGGGGCTCAGTGCATTTGCGACAATCGCTGCTTACCTATGGAGTACTACCATTGAAATCAATGGGGCATCTTGCATAAAAAAAGTGAACAGGACTCAATCCCTTAAAAAGACCTAGGGTCTGACTGTCGGCTGGTATGAATCAGCATACATCCTTATGCACCACATGGGATCTGACTCCGAGTTCGCAGCTCACATCACCCAGTTGGGTTTATCTGCAAAACCAGCATTTCTTACCTTATGAACTTGTGGGCAAGATGTTCTACGAAAAAATAGATTTCATTCCAGTGGTGCAGGACGCTTCCTGATCTGGGAAAACAATCATTGCAGGAAATATTAGCTTAATTTCATATAGTTAGGCCACTGCTTTATTATTTCCCAGCCTAATGTATTGTTATACATCTGTTCATCTCATCATTTCTTTTACAACTAAAACTACACCTAAACTTCTACAACTAAAACTCCTTTTTGTGTTTCCTTAAAGTGGGGTTAGGGAGTGGGGGGTGGAAATCGCATCATATCTCAGACACAGCTTTGAAACGCGAAGCATATAATTTATACTTAAGTTGAGCATTTGAGGCTGCTTCTTGACAAGAATATATGGCAGCTCCGTTAGACCTTTAACTTGGCAGTAAGCAAATAACCCAGGGTTAGCGCTGATCTATGTCACTGTCAAGTATTTTGGGTGGATTCCATTGGCTTACTCACCGTGTCATTGTGCCTAGTTATCAGCTTGAGTGCATTTGGGGAACATAATGCATTTGGAAGGAAGGAAAGATTCCTAAATCTAAACCACTGTTTCCATTGTGCTGGTGACAATGAGAGGTAAAATATCTTAGACCTATAATTCAGCCATAACTGGTGTATTCTCTAGTAAAAGACTGTAATACGCTGCTGGGATACTCAGCGCTGTGGGCCACAGAGTTACCTATCCACCTCAGCAAGAGTGAGTTTTGCTGGAGATTAGACTGTCTGTCAGCTCCCTGCCACACCAGTCTGTCTTCTTCACCAGAAGACTCCTCAAGGCTCTCCCGGCCTAAACCTTACCAAGCAGGTGGCAATCAGTGAATGCCAGCACCCGAGCTCCTCAGAGATTTTTTTTTTGCAATGCACAGCCCCTGCTGCTGTACACTGACAGAAGATAAGTGCTCTGTTAAAGAGCCTGTACATCACAGCTTCTTAATTTAACAGGGTAAATATACCCTTCCCTTCAAGCACAGCAAGGAATTAGTTTATAGTAAAAGTAAATCAAATTTATTAACAAAAGGGCATGGATTAAGTGATACCAAGTAAAAGAGATAAAGGTAGAGATGGCTGCAAAAAAATAAAAATGAAAACATGCATCCAAAAGTCTAAAACTTAAGCTAGCAAGATACAGTTTTTGTTCAAGATGGTCTCTCTCACACAGTCTCCTTTCCAGCTTTTTTACTGGCCAGGACCCACCACAGAGATCAAATCACTTGGTTTCTTTGTCTCCTAAGATGAAGGATAAAGATGGAGTCTCTCTTTGCTCCTTATAGTCCCAAAGAGATTGCCTTTTTCTTACAAGTCAAGAAGGCCTCCCGGGGATTCAGTCTTTTGTCTCTCTCTGGGGTACAGGAGCCATGTTAATTCTCTCTCTCTCGAGTTCAGGAGCAGGATAACCCCCAGTGGTTTAGTTTGATAGCTTCGGTTACAGCTAACATGTAAACTGAGGTAAAGCCACATTCCTTTATCTAGGACAGACCTGTTTATCACCTTTACCTACACTAGATTGTCTTGTCTTAAATTTGTCCTACTAACATCATGCAGAGGGAATTCACAACTTCACATATAATATTAATACATGCATTTTACAGTGATATTAATAACCAGTATGTTATTAGCTTTCATATGATACCTCACAGGGCCTATTTCATCAAGATATTATTGCAGTAGTGGGTAGGGTGCGAATATAGGGGTACCTAGGGTCACACCGATTGGGCCTTAATCCTGCTCCCAGTGCGTTCACAGGGAGATTTGTCATTGATTTTTATTGGATTGGGACTGAGCCAAGATTTTTCCTTTTTACATTGATAAACAGCAAAAAAGTGAGGTTAACTAGACAATCTACGCAGCAAATCTGCTTATCAGTCTATGCATAGATTTGTGCAATCCTTACTAACACTGGTGAGCACTGACACAAGTACTCTTATTGAGCAGGGCCGGCTCTAGGCACCAGCAAAACAAGCTGGTGCTTGGGGCGGCACATTTTTAGGGGTGGCACAGCCAGCGCCAGAATGCTGCCCCTAAAAATGTGCCCCGGCCGCCCTAGCTCACCTCCGCTGCTGCTGCCGCTCGCGCGCCGCTACTCGCCCTCCCTCCCAGGCTCTCAAACCTGGGAGGGAGGGGGAGACTCCGAGTGGCCACGGTGCGGGCGCCGCTTCTCCCCCTCCCTCCCAGGCTTGAGAGCCTGGGGGGAAGGGGCGGAGTTGAGGCGGGGCCGGGGGTGGGGTAATTAAAAAACGGGAGGGGGGGGGCGGCCAAAATTGTTTTTGCCTTGGGCGGCAAAAATCCTAGAGCCGGCCCTGTATTGAGTTTACATTGTTTCAATCCGCTCGGTTGGGTTTTTCTTTATTCTGCTGTTACAGAGTCTTACAACTGAAAGAGCAACAATATTCCTGTTAAAGTCTGAGTTGAATATCATCCAAGAGACTAGAAATTTGGAGGTTTGGGGCTGGGCGTGGATAAGCTTTTGAAAAACATGTAAAAGTATCTAACATTTCTCTGTTATGTCTCCTCTCTGGGAAACCAGACTGAGAGCCATAAATGAAATCATCACAACATGCAGAAGCTGGTGCATACAAGTCCGGCCTGGCTGTTAATGACGTGACATCACTTCCCTGACTAAGTGCAATGCAAAGCCAAGCCACAGTGTATGGATTATTCATAGATTTGTTTCATTTTTGTTCACAGCAACTCAGTAAAAGCCTGATTTACTTTCTTGTTCTAAGACTCCGAACCGTAGTTCTGCTACATGGCTTTGTGCGCTCTTCACTTTAGTCAATGACACTGCAGTGCTTTCAGGCTTGCATGTAAATTCATAGTTTCAGATGAAACTTGATCATGGGCCCTCTTTCTGCTCTCAATGAAATCACTGGGTGTTTTCCCATTGACTTCCATGAGATCAGAATTTGGATCCTAATAATAATACCTAGTTCCAATACAGTACTTTTCATTGGTAAATCTCAAAACACTTTACAAAAAGGGGGGTCATTTACAGATGGGGTAACTGAGGCACAGAGAGGAGAAGTGACTTGACCAAGGTCATAAACCAGGCCAGTGGCAGAGCCAGGAATTGAACCCAGCTCTCCCAAGTCCCAGTTCAGTGCTCTTTCCACTAGGCAACACTCCCTCTCTCTACCAGAATCATCATCCTACTGACCATTGTTGCATTGTACTCCTATGTTCCTATTAGAAGCCTCTGAACTAAGCTGGTTTTCATGATTTTTTTTCTTAAACACAGTGAGGCAGCTGCAAATGAGGAACAGCCACAGAGCCCATATGGTATGTAGGTCGTTATATAAAACAGTGCCATTTTCCATGGCTCAGAGAAGTCCTGGGGTTGGTTTTTCTTTTTCTTTTTTTTTTTTTTTTTTAAAGCACAGCACTAGCCAGAACTGAGTTTAAAACCTAGTTGCTTGTATGCCAGTTGCCAGCAAACTACATTCTCTGTTTAAATGTTTGCCTTTGTGATTGTTGTTCCACTGGACTTGGTTTTAAGTGGTTTTGGAAAAGGCAGTTTTCTCAGTTACACACTGCTTTTTAATACTCCACATAAGCTGCAGTTTCAATTTCACCCTCCCCCCATCCCTTTGGAACAAGAATCCAAACATCTAAAATTACAGCTCTTCTTTTTCCATGAAACCTTCCCACACATATATTCACACAGAGGGGAAGAACAGCACAAGGTCCAAGACCGGCAGAGATTTCACATGTGGGTTTAGCAGAGCTTCTTATCCTTCTCTCTATGATGATATTTATAAAAACAACTCACTGGCCCCCTGCAAAAAGGGCCAGATTCTCATCTCAGGTAGGGAGGCGTTAATCCAGACTCAATCCATTGTCTTCAGCAGAGTTACACCACTGTGAGGTCAGAACTGGTTCCCCAAAATTAAATCTTTTGCATATAACTGACTGTATGCCATTGCTTCTAGTACAGGTCTTCTCAATGTGGGGGGTTTGACCCCTGCCCTACTGGGGTAACAAACACATATTAGGGAGTCTAGTTACTGCTGAAAGGGAGAGGGGTCCCTGCTAGATGGGAAAGGGGTGCTCCATGTATGCATGTGGTGTCACTATATGGAAAATGTTGAGAATGCTCATTTTACTCCATGACAAGCACACATCATCCTTCCTATTATACAGTCATTTCTACTTTCAAAACTCTTCACAAGCTCCAAGTAACTAATTGTCATGACAGCTCTTGTCTAATAGGTAAGGACTGTTATACCCATTTTTACAGAGGTGGGAAAGACATAGAATATCAGGGTTGGAAGGGACCTCAGGAGGTCATCTAGTCCAACCCCCTGCTCAAAGCAGGACCAATCTCCAAATAGATTTTTACTCCAGTTCCCTAAAGGCCCCCCCCAGGGATTGAGCTCACAACCCTGGGTTTAGCAGGCCAATGCTCAAACCACTGAGCTATCCCTCCAGTTTCTTGGATGTTAAGTGCCTTGCTTGAGGCCTGACAGAGAGAGAAAGAGCGAGAGCAGGTATCCAAACTGGTACTGAAGACCAGTAGTTGCTGGTTTCCCAACCTGTTCTCAGACATTTGACTTATCAAAAAGTCCATTATCTAATGTTAGTAGCAGATCTCTTACCCTCTCTCTGGGCCCTCATTAACTTACACACACAAAGCCAGTTCGTTACACCATGCTAGCAAAATCCAATCAAGAGCTATTATACTATGCATGCATTGAAGAGCTTGTTGATGCTGAATTCACAGTCCCAGACACTAGTACCAAATATTGTAGTTCCACCTTCCCGTATATTATCCAGTAACATGGCTTCTGGGACTGTGGGTTGCCCACATGACCCAGTGGAACTGTTTGCTATTGGTACGCTCTCTTCAGCCGGGCAAATTGGCATCACAACTGTGTCTACAGATGCAACAGCAGCAGCCTCACCAGTGATGAGATTTTCAGTTCTCCTCCCTGTACATATTGTAATGTTGATTGGTTCTCATTTCTGAGCTGTGGTTAGAGCCGGGGACTCAGAGGCCGGTCTCCCAAGTTCTAGTCCAGGTGCTCACAACCGAGGCCAGATTGTCAAGGGAGCTCAGCTCCCAT